CCTGACACCAGGTTATGGTGAAGGAACGGCGCTTACCGCAGGGCTCAGCAAGGAGGACGGGTGCTCATGCTCGAAAGACCCAAACTCCCAGTGGCTTCCTTTTCAGGGAAGGGCTTTTAAAGGCAACATCTGGGGTGAGGGCTGCAGGGTACATGACTTTTTTCTGATTGGTTGGTGGTGTGGTAACCGGGTGATGTTTCAGGGATCTTAATCACCAACCTGCTGGTTCTAACCAGTCTGGGGTCTACGTGCTTGTGGTCAGCGTGTAGTCACCATCCTCTGCCTGAGTGGGGGCCTTAGTTCCTGCAGAACAACTCAAAGCTCTGTGTCAGATTGTTATGTATATCCCTTGAGAAGGAACTAGGACCCTAAACTATTGTTTCTTGACTGCTTTTCCTTTGTTTCTGCATTCCTTCACTTTCCTAATTAGTAACCACCTGCATCTGCTCTTTGGAAATTATGGAAGGCCTAGGAGACCAAAGCCTATTTCTACAAACAAGAAACAAGGGACACAGAGGGGCTTTTGTGCCCAGGAGAGCCCCACAGGGTCCTGCTCAATTTCAAATGAATTCTTTCTTAATAACCAAAAAGGAACTAAAAACTGTGGAATCTACTCAATGTGTCACTAAAACTGGGAAAGGGAGATTGGACAGGTCACAGTTGGAAGCACTGTTTGCAGAAAAAGAAAACTCCACCAAATCCTGACTGAGCCATAAACTCTTGTTTCCAAAGATAAAATTAAACCACAAGGACCAGGATCTGCCTTCATGAAGATTAGTCAAGAACTTAGTGCCCAGCTCTGAAGGGGTCTTCCCTCATGTCTGCTAAAAATTCAGCTCTAATTCTCAGAATGTTCAGGAAAACCCTGAAGAAGAGACAAGAGACAAAATCCAAGGATGACGGATCAAGCATGAATAAATGTTAGCATGTGAGGACTCCAGTCCCCAGTGAACCTGGGGAGCATAAAAGGAGATTCTTGGTACTATTTTTGCAAATTCCCTGTAAGTCTGAAGTTATTTCAAAATAAAAAGTAAAAATAATACATAAAATGTATTTTTTTAAAAAATAAGAAGAAAGCAAATCAGATTTCACATGGGAATGCAGACTTCCAATTTTTCCGGAAGAATTAGAATGTCTGGCAAGAATCAGCCCAAGGGAGGGGCAGCCGACCACTGTGGACAGGACAGGCACACTACAGTTTGCTCCGGCTCTACCACTTCCTCCCGACTCCCTAACTCTGAGGCTGAGGGTCATTTATCATTGCATCTCTGCTGTTGTCTGCCTTACACCTGGCCTGCCTGTCTTGTTTATATAACCTGCTTGACTCTTGTAGGCATTGAAATTCGCAACCCTCTACCTCTACCCTTTGATTCCAAGTCCCCATCTGGACTTTGCGAACCGAAGTAGCTGGACCACATGGGAGCTCTGAGAATTCCTTTTAATAAGACCACAGCAGGAGGGCCAGCTGCTTGGTCTTCTTTGTGGACTTGTCCTGCACTTCCCTGGATCTCACCACTTCACCTGTGAAACCAGGAATAGAAAAAGAGAGTCTTTCACTTTAAGTCTGGAAAAAGCTTTCTGAAGTTGCACATAACATGTCTTTTTCCCTCTGGGCCCCACCCAATGTCCACTAACCCTTCCAAAAGCAAAATATTGAAGGTTACTGTAATGGTTCATTTTATGTGTCAACTTGGCTGGGCCACAGTGCTCAGATATTTACTCAAATATTATTCTGGCTGTTTCTTGGAAGGTATTTTTATATGAGATTAACATTTAAATCAGTGAACTTTGACTAGAACAGATTGTCCTCCATACAGTGGGTGGGCCTCATCCAATCAGTCGAAAGCCAGAATAGAACAAAAGACTAACATCCTCGGAGGGAGAAGGAACTCTGCCAGCAAATGGCCTTTGGATTGACAGCTCTTCCCTGGGTCTTTAGCCCAAAAGCCTTCAGACTTGAACTACAGATTTTGGACTTTCCAGCCTCTATGATCTTGTGAGCCAATTCCTTAAAATCAAGAAATAAATATATATACAAGTATTTTATATATTTATATAACTTATTTATAAATTTATACATAAATATATTTGTAAAATATTTTTAAATAGTTTATAAATATATAAATTTATAAATATTAATTTTAATTCCTCAATGTTTTATATTTTATAAATTTTTAAATTATAATTATAAATTTTATAATAAATGTTTATAACATTTTATAATAAATGTTGGGCCTCTGCAACATTAAGTTTTTCCAGTCTTAACTAATCAGTACCTGTTTTACTCAGGGTTCTCTGATTGTTGGAAGTGAATCACTAGGTCCAGCCCATGCTCGGGCAGAGGGAATTACACAAGGGCATGAGTGCCAGGAAGTGGGGACCATTGGGAACCATCTTAGAACATATGCCAAAGCAAGGAGGGAGCAGGTGGAACAAATGCCCCGACCTCTCTCTTCCCATCCTCTGACCTCCCATCAATGTCCCCCATTGGCCAAACTCAGGTGGCAGCTAGAGGGTAAGGGAGTCCAAGCGATGCAGCCCACAAAGTGCATCCTCCCAGATCAGTACAGAGATGGGCAGGGAATAGACCTGAGGGAGGGAGACGGGGGAGGGACGATGGATGGAGAATAGCCAGGATGTGAGAAAAGACACAAACTGACAGACAGTCATCATGGAGGTCAGGTACCCTAGAAGATAGGACATCACTGAGAACCCCTCACCCAGACATATGGGGTGTGTCTCTCTTCTCTAAGCCCATTCTTTCCTGGGCTCTACAATGTGGGGTAACATTGAACCTGGGCACATTTATAAGGTAATGAAAATTTTCTATAGAACAAATGTCCCTCCCTTCCATCTCATTCCTCTTGATGTCAGTACCTGCCTCTTTAATTCCTGAGGCCAGGAGGAGGATTGGGGGAGGAAAAGGGCTGAGCAGTGACATTTGGAAAGACCCTGTTCTGTGACAGCTCTAATGTTGATGCCAAAATTCTAATTTCCTGTTCGAAAAAACTTGTGCAAATAATGTAGTTTGCTCCTGTTGGCTTTTCTGATGTGCTCATTGAGGTTGCTTGGGGTCTAGAGGCAGAGCTTCTCCTGCAGTGTACACAC